GAAAGTACAGGTATTTGAGTTCAACATGTAAGAAGTAGAAAGTACAGGTATTTGTGTTCAACATGTAAGAAGTAGAAAGTACAGGTATTTGTGTTCAACATGTAAGAAGTAGAAAGTACAGGTATTTGTGTTCAACATGTGAGAAGTAGAAAGTACAGGTATTTGAGTTCAACATGTAAGAAGTAGAAAGTACAGGTATTTGTGTTCAACATGTAAGAAGTAGAAAGTACAGGTATTTGTGTTCAACATGTGAGAAGTAGAAAGTACAGGTATTTGAGTTCAACATGTAAGAAGTAGAAAGTAAAGGTATTTGAGTTCAACATGTAAGAAGTAGAAAGTACAGGTATTTGTGTTCAACATGTAAGAAGTAGAAAGTACAGGTATTTGTGTTCAACATGTAAGAAGTAGAAAGTACAGGTATTTGAGTTCAACATGTAAGAAGTAGAAAGTACAGGTATTTGAGTTCAACATGTAAGAAGTAGAAAGTACAGGTATTTGTGTTCAACATGTAAGAAGTAGAAAGTACAGGTATTTGTGTTCAACATGTAAGAAGTAGAAAGTACAGGTATTTGTGTTCAACATGTAAGAAGTAGAAAGTACAGGTATTTGAGTTCAACATGTAAGAAGTAGAAAGTTCAGGTATTTGAGTTCAACATGTAAGAAGTAGAAAGTACAGGTATTTGTGTTCAACATGTAAGAAGTAGAAAGTACAGGTATTTGAGTTCAACATGTAAGAAGTAGAAAGTACAGGTATTTGAGATCAACATGTAAGAAGTAGAAAGTACAGGTATTTGTGTTCAACATGTAAGAAGTAGAAAGTACAGGTATTTGAGATCAACATGTAAGAAGTAGAAAGTACAGGTATTTGAGTTCAACATGTAAGAAGTAGAAAGTACAGGTATTTGGGTTCAACATGTATGAAGTAGAAAGTACAGGTATTTGAGTTCAACATGTAAGAAGTAGAAAGTACAGGTATTTGGGTTCAACATGTAAGAAGTAGAAAGTACAGGTATTTGAGTTCAACATGTAAGAAGTAGAAGTACAGGTATTTGAGTTCAACATGTAAGAAGTAGAAAGTACAGGTATTTGAGTTCAACATGTAAGAAGTAGAAAGTACAGGTATTTGTGTTCAACATGTAAGAAGTAGAAAGTACAGGTATTTGTGTTCAACATGTAAGAAGTAGAAAGTACAGGTATTTGGGTTCAACATGTAAGAAGTAGAAAGTACAGGTATTTGTGTTCAACATGTAAGAAGTAGAAAGTACAGGTATTTGGGTTCAACATGTGAGAAGTAGAAAGTACAGGTATTGAGTTCAACATGTAAGAAGTAGAAAGTAAAGGTATTTGAGTTCAACATGTAAGAAGTAGAAAGTACAGGTATTTGAGTTCAACATGTAAGAAGTAGAAAGTACAGGTATTTGAGTTCATCATGTAAGAAGTAGAAAGTACAGGTATTTGAGTTCATCATGTAAGAAGTAGAAAGTACAGGTATTTGTGTTCAACATGTGAGAAGTAGAAAGTACAGGTATTTGTGTTCAACATGTAAGAAGTAGAAAGTACAGGTATTTGAGTTCAACATGTAAGAAGTAGAAAGTACAGGTATTTGAGTTCAACATGTAAGAAGTAGAGAGTACAGGTATTTGTGTTCAACATGTGAGAAGTAGAAAGTACAGGTATTTGAGTTCAACGTGTAAGAAGTAGAAAGTACAGGTATTTGTGTTCAACGTGTAAGAAGTAGAAAGTACAGGTATTTGAGTTCAACATGTAAGAAGTAGAAAGTACAGGTACTTGAGTTCAACATGTAAGAAGTAGAAAGTACAGGTATTTGAGTTCAACATGTGAGAAGTAGAAAGTACAGGTATTTGAGTTCAACGTGTAAGAAGTAGAAAGTACAGGTATTTGTGTTCAACATGTAAGAAGTAGAAAGTACAGGTATTTGTGTTCAACGTGTAAGAAGTAGAAAGTACAGGTATTTGAGTTCAACATGTAAGAAGTAGAAAGTACAGGTATTTGAGTTCAACATGTAAGAAGTAGAAAGTACAGGTACTTGAGTTCAACATGTGAGAAGTAGAAAGTACAGGTATTTGAGTTCAACATGTAAGAAGTAGAAAGTACAGGTATTTGAGTTCAACATGTAAGAAGTAGAAAGTACAGGTACTTGAGTTCAACATGTAAGAAGTAGAAAGTACAGGTATTTGAGTTCAACATGTAAGAAGTAGAAAGTACATTTAGTTCACATGGAAAAGTACAGGTATTTGTGTTCAACATGTGAGAAGTAGAAAGTACAGGTATTTGTGTTCAACATGTAAGAAGTAGAAAGTACAGGTATTGAGTTCAACATGTAAGAAGTAGAAAGTACAGGTATTTGTGTTCAACATGTAAGAAGTAGAAAGTACAGGTATTTGAGTTCAACATGTAAGAAGTAGAAAGTACAGGTATTTGAGTTCAACATGTAAGAAGTAGAAAGTACAGGTATTTGAGTTCAACGTGTAAGAAGTAGAAAGTACAGGTATTTGTGTTCAACGTGTAAGAAGTAGAAAGTACAGGTATTTGTGTTCAACGTGTAAGAAGTAGAAAGTACAGGTATTTGTGTTCAACGTGTAAGAAGTAGAAAGTACAGGTATTTGTGTTCAACGTGTAAGAAGTAGAAAGTACAGGTATTTGTGTTCAACGTGTAAGAAGTAGAAAGTACAGGTATTTGTGTTCAACGTGTAAGAAGTAGAAAGTACAGGTATTTGAGTTCAACATGTAAGAAGTAGAAAGTACAGGTATTTGTGTTCAACATGTAAGAAGTAGAAAGTACAGGTATTTGGGTTCAACATGTAAGAAGTAGAAAGTACAGGTATTTGTGTTCAACATGTAAGAAGTAGAAAGTACAGGTATTTGGGTTCAACATGTAAGAAGTAGAAAGTACAGGTATTTGGGTTCAACATGTAAGAAGTAGAAAGTACAGGTATTTGGGTTCAACATGTAAGAAGTAGAAAGTACAGGTATTTGGGTTCAACATGTAAGAAGTAGAAAGTACAGGTATTTGGGTTCAAATTAGAAGTAGAAAGTACAGGTATTTGAGTTCAACATGTAAGAAGTAGAAAGTACAGGTATTTGAGTTCAACATGTGAGAAGTAGAAAGTACAGGTATTTGTGTTCAACATGTAAGAAGTAGAAAGTACAGGTATTTGAGTTCAACATGTAAGAAGTAGAAAGTACAGGTATTTGAGTTCAACATGTAAGAAGTAGAAAGTACAGGTATTTGTGTTCAACATGTAGAAGTAGAAAGTACAGGTATTTGTGTTCAACATGTAAGAAGTAGAAAGTACAGGTATTTGAGTTCAACATGTAAGAAGTAGAAGTACAGGTATTTGTGTTCAACATGTAAGAAGTAGAAAGTACAGGTATTTGTGTTCAACATGTAAGAAGTAGAAAGTTCAGGTATTTGAGTTCAACATGTAAGAAGTATAAAGTACAGGTATTTGAGTTCAACATGTAAGAAGTAGAAAGTACAGGTATTTGTGTTCAACATGTAAGAAGTATAAAGTACAGGTATTTGTGTTCAACATGTAAGAAGTAGAAAGTACAGGTATTTGAGTTCAACATGTAAGAAGTAGAAAGTACAGGTATTTGAGTTCAACATGTGAGAAGTAGAAAGTACAGGTATTTGTGTTCAACATGTAAGAAGTAGAAAGTACAGGTATTTGTGTTCAACATGTAAGAAGTAGAAAGTACAGGTATTTGAGTTCAACATGTAAGAAGTAGAAAGTACAGGTATTTGGGTTCAACATGTAAGAAGTAGAAAGTACAGGTATTTGAGTTCAACATGTAAGAAGTAGAAAGTACAGGTATTTGTGTTCAACATGTAAGAAGTAGAAAGTACAGGTATTTGGGTTCAACATGTAAGAAGTAGAAAGTACAGTTATTTGGGTTCAACATGTAAGAAGTAGAAAGTACAGGTATTTGAGTTCAACATGTAAGAAGTAGAAAGTACAGGTATTTGAGTTCACATGTAAGAAGTAGAAAGTACAGGTATTTGGGTTCAACATGTAAGAAGTAGAAAGTACAGGTATTTGAGTTCAACGTGTAAGAAGTAGAAAGTACAGGTATTTGTGGTCAACATGTAAGAAGTAGAAAGTACAGGTATTTGAGTTCAACATGTAAGAAGTAGAAAGTACAGGTATTTGAGTTCAACATGTAAGAAGTAGAAAAGTACAGGTATTTGGGTTCAACATGTATGAAGTAGAAAGTACAGGTATTTGAGTTCAACATGTAAGAAGTAGAAAGTACAGGTATTGTGTTCAACATGTAAGAAGTAGAAAGTACAGGTATTTGAGTTCAACATGTAAGAAGTAGAAAGTACAGGTATTTGAGTTCAACATGTAAGAAGTAGAAAGTACAGGTATTTGTGTTCAACATGTAAGAAGTAGAAAGTACAGGTATTTGAGTTCAACATGTAAGAAGTAGAAAGTACAGGTATTTGTGTTCAACATGTGAGAAGTAGAAAGTACAGGTATTTGAGTTCAACATGTAAGAAGTAGAAAGTACAGGTATTTGAGTTCAACATGTAAGAAGTAGAAAGTACAGGTATTTGAGTTCAACAAGTAAAAAGTCGTCAGAGAAATAAGTAGTGGAGTAAAGTACTGATACCAGAAACATGTACTTAAGTACAGTAACGAAGTATTTGTACTCCACTACTTCCCACCTCTGGTCTTGTGACTGTAATAAAAGTCGCTAAACCAAAACACACAGGGTGTAGAGTTCACGACACACATCACTTATGATTCCAATCCTTGATATATAAAACAACACGTCTTTGAGAGGAATAAAGATTTGGGGTTGGCTCTTAAATATTGAGGCATTTTCTAAATACTGTTAATATTAATGATGTGACCGTCTATGTTTCTTGTAGTTATTGAATTGGCTAGTGTACAGTTGTATTGTTATTGTGCTGCTGTGTTTATTGTCTTATCTTACCAAAGTGGCTCATGTTGCAATGTTTATTTCCACAGAACGGACAACGCCGTGAAGAACCACTGGAACTCCACCATCAAACGCAAACTGGAGATGGGTTTCTACGCCGGAGAGGTGTTCGGTCCGAACGAGCTTGAAGAGCTTTTAGCCCCGCGTGAATAAAGACGAACAGGTGGGCGATGTCTCCGTTATGTGCTCCTCTAAGAGGGGGCACGTTTAAGCTGAACCAAATGTCTCTTCTGTTTTACTTTCTAGCGTTAATTGAGATTTTCCACGAGTCTTTGGATATATGTCGTCTTATTTTATGATGTTGTCTCTTATTAAAATGTAAAAAGTCATTTTTTGTTTTTGCCACAGCGCTGTTAGATTGCTTTAGTGCAGTGCTTCTCAAAGTGTGGTCCGCGGACCACTGGTGGGCCGTGAGCGCCCCCTAGTGGTCCGTGAGTATATTGGTCACATTTTACATAAATTAATTAATTAAAGTTTTTCGCACTCTCGCAGGAGTATCTCCGCAATGGAGCGAGCTTAAGTTTCACTTTAAATTGCATGATAAAGCCCCGCGCAACACCTTCATCACACATGTGGCCACTTGTTTGTCCCATTTTCAAGCGATTTGTAATCTGTTCTAGAAAAACGATGTGATTTTGGATATTTGTGGAGTTAGGTGGTCCGCGAGTGTTTTTTTATTGGTTAAGTGTCCTTGGTATGAAAAAGTTTGAGAAACACTGCTTTAGTGCAGCAATCAGGAACGTTTTTTAAACAAATTTAAAATGTTGTTTTTTAACCCCACGAGGCATACCGTTTGGGAAGATAGAAAGGGGTCGTGCTTTTTGGAAATGATAACACATAGTATTAAAGAAAAATACTTTAAAACACTCTTTTGGATCGTATGAGTTACTGACAGTCCTCCACTACTGCACTTCAATTCTACACATGTTTGATATAGGTGCAGCCTTATTTGTATGTACAGCTCAGCAGAAATACAGTGCTTAATAGGGATGTAACGATATATCGAATATCGCGGTAAATAAATGTCTCAATGCCGTCGTGAGACTGATAAAATATACCGCGATAAAAAATTTTTAATATTATTTTTAAACCAGGCGGTCCCATTGAGATCATCAATCTCT